TCATCCCCCATATAGTAATTCACCCCCCATAGTAATTCACCCCCCATAGTAATTCATCCCCATATAGTAATTCATCCCCCATAGTAATTCATCCCCCATAGTAATTCACCCCCCATAGTAATTCATCCCCCATAGTAATTCATCCCCATATAGTAATTCATCCCCCATATAGTAATTCATCCCCCATATAGTAATTCATCCCCCATAGTAAATTCATCCCCCATAGTAATTAATCCCCCATATAGTAATTCCCCCCATAGTAATTCATCCCCCATAGTAATTCATCCCCCCTATAGTAATTCATCCCCCATATAGTAATTCATCCCCCATAGTAATTCACCCCCCCATAGTAATTCACCCCCCATAGTAATTCATCCCCCATAGTAATTCATCCCCCATATAGTAATTCATCCCCCATAGTAATTCATTCCCCCTATAGTAAGTCATCCCCATAGTAATTCATCCCCCATATAGTAATTCATCCCCCATATAGTAATTCATCCCCCATAGTAATTCATCCCCCATAGTAATTCATCCCCCCCATAGTAATTCATCCCCCCTATAGTAATTCATCCCCCATAGTAATTCATCCCCCATATAGTAATTCATCCCCCATATAGTAATTCATCCCCCATAGTAAATCATCCCCCATAGTAATTCACCCCCCATAGTAATTAATCCCCCATATAGTAATTCATCCCCCATAGTAATTCATCCCCCATAGTAATTCATCCCCCCTATAGTAATTCATCCCCCATATAGTAATTCATCCCCCATAGTAATTCACCCCCCATAGTAATTCACCCCCCATAGTAATTCATCCCCCATATAGTAATTCATCCCCCATATAGTAATTCATCCCCCATAGTAATTCATCCCCCCTATAGTAAGTCATCCCCCATAGTAATTCATCCCCCATATAGTAATTCATCCCCCATAGTAATTCATCCCCCATAGTAATTCATCCCCCCATAGTAATTCATCCCCCCTATAGTAATTCATCCCCCATAGTAATTCATCCCCCATATAGTAATTCATTCCCCATATTAATTCATCCCCCATATTAAGTCCCCAAGTCCCCCCTGTGTCAATTCACTTACCTTTGCTCCACGCGTTCCTCTCGCCGTCTTCCCGCGCCGTTCAGGTGTAGCATGAAAATCTGTCTCCTATGAGAATCTGTCCCCCTCGACGTATCTGCGCATGTGCCAGTTTCAGGCATTAGCAGCCGATCGGCGATCTCCGGCACATGCGCAGATACGTCGAGGGGGACAGATCCTCATAGATTTTCATGCTACACCGGTCTTCAGGGCGGACTGTGAGAGGAGCCTAGCTCCGCGGGCCGGATTAAAAGGTCCGCCGGGCCGTATACGGCCCGCGGGCCGTAGTTTGCCCATTGCTGATCTAACACAATATAATGGTTAGAAATTTAACCCAGCAATTATTTTCAAATATTAACCACTTGGCTTCCAGAGGATTTACCCACTTCCTAACCAGGCCATTTTTCGTTATACGGTGCTGTGTAACTTAACTGAAAATTGCGCGTTCATGCAACACTGCACCCAAATAAAATGTATGTCCTTTTTCCCCCACAAATAGAGCTTTCTTTCAGTGGTATTTGATTGCCTCTGTGTTTTTTATTTTTTGAGCTATAAACAAAAAAAAGGCCGACAATCTTGAGAAAAAAAACAATATTTTTTACTTTTTGCTATTAAACATGTCCAGTAAAAAAATTTAAAAAATCTAATTTCATCATAAATTTACACCAAAATGTATTCTGGTACATGTCTTTGCTAAAAAAAAAATCCCAATATGTGTAAATTAATTGGTTTATGTGAAAGTTCAAGCGTCTACAAAATGGCGGTATATATACTGGAATCTTATTTTTTTTTTTTTTTTTTTTTTTTATACTGGTAATGACGATCAGGGACTTATAGCAGGTATTCTGACACTGGGGAGGGAACTGACTATCTGTCACTGACAACCCCAGTGACACTAATACAGTGATCAGTGCTAATACAAAGCACTGATACTGTACTAATGGCACTGGGCAGGAAGGGGTTAACATCTGGGGCGTTAAAAGGGTTAACTGTGTGCTGTGTTTGTGCTTTACTGTGTCAGCACATTGCTTTGTATTGCTCAAGAAATGTGCAGGAGCTGAAAGGGGAGAGATCTGTATTGTTTACATACAGGTCTCTCCCCTGTCAGTGATACTTGGAGATCGCCAAGTGCCGGCAGGGAATCATCGGCCGGGACCCAGTGATTGACAGCTGAGGCTGCCAATGGCGGTGCGCATAGGGATTGTGTGCACCCCTTACCCGGAAATGCAAAATCACGTATATATACAGTGGGGATCGAAAGTTTGGGCACCCCAGCTAAAAGTTTGTATTAATGTGCATAAAGAAGCCAAGGAAAGATGGAAAAATCTCCAAAAGGCATCAAATTACAGATTAGACATTCTTATAATATGTCAACAAAAGTTAGATTTTATTTCCATCATTTACACTTTCAAAATAACAGAAAACAAAAAATGGCGTCTGCAAACGTTTGGGCACCCTGCAGAGTTAATATCTTGTACTGCCCCTTTGGCAAGTATCACAGCTTGTAAACGCTTTTTGTAGCCAGCCAAGAGTCTTTCAATTCTTGTTTGAGGTATCTTTGCCCATTCTTCCTTACAAAAGTCTTCCAGTTCTTTGAGATTTCTGGGCTGTCTGTCATGCACTGCTCTTTTAAGGTCTATCCATAGATTTTCAATTATGTTGAGGTCAGGAGATTGTGAAGGCCATGGGAAAACCTTCAGTTTACGCCTCTTAATGTAATCCCCCGTGGATTTTGGGTGTGTTTAGGATCATTATCCATTTGTAGAAGCCATCCTCTCTTTAACTTCAGCTTTTTCACAGATGGCATCAAGTTACCACCCAAAATTTGCTGAAATTTTATTGAATCCATTTTTCCTTCTACTCGTGAGATGTTCCCTGTGCCACTGGCTGCAACACAACCCAAAGCATGATTGATCCAACCCCATGCTTAACAGTTGGACAGAGGTTCTTTTCATTAAATTCTGTGCCTCTTCTTCTCCAAACGTACCTTTGCTCATTCCAGCCAAAAAGTTCAATTTTAACCTCATCGGTCCACAGAACTTGTTTCCAAAATGCATCAGGCTTGTCTATATGTTCATTTGCAAAGTTCAAACGATGATTTTTGTGGTGAGGACATAGAAGAGGTTTTCTTCTGATGACTCTTCCATGAAGACCATATTTGTACAAGTATCTCTTTATAGTGGAATAGTGTACCACAACTCCAGTGTCTGCCAGATCTTTCTGGAGGGATCGTGCAGTCAAACGTGGGTTTTGAATTGTTTTTCTCACAATCCTGCGAGCTGTTCTGTCTGATATTTTTCTTGGTCTTCCAGATCTTGCTTTAACTTCCACTGTTCCTGATGACTGCCATTTCTTAATTACATTCCGAACAGAGGATATTGACATCTGAAAACGCTTTGCTATCTTCTTATAGCCTTCTCCAGCTTTGTGAGTGTCAACTATTTTCAGTTTCAGTTTTCTAGACAACTGCTTAGAAGAACCCATGGTGCTGATTGTTGGGCCAAGGTCAGATGAGTCTGGGCATTTAAAACCTTTGAGATTGACATCACCTAGTCTTCCCAGATGATGATTGAGAACAATCCATGACACTGGCAGGTCTCAGCTTGGCAAAGGCGGCAGTGCATGCTAGAAATTCTGCAGGGTGCCCAAACTTTTGCAGACGCCATTTTTTTGTTTTCTGTTATTTTGAAAGTGTAAATGATGGAAATAAAATCTAACTTTTGTTGACATATTTTTAGAATGTCTAATCTGTAATTTGATGCCTTTTGGAGATTTTTCCATCTTTCCTTGGCTTCTTTATGCACATTAATACAAATTTTTAGCTGGGGTGCCCAAACTTTCGATCCCCACTGTGTATATATATATACTGTATATATATATATATATATATATATATGATTTTTCGCAGCCCTGCCGCCCTGTAGCAGTATTTCTGCTATAGGGGGGCGGGAAAACGGTTAATGAGTTCAAACCAACTGTCTAGAAAGGTAGGAAACTATCAGTAGCTCAGCAGCAAAATACAAAAGCTATGCAAATTGACCACGTAATCTCTCTACAACCAGATTTTCAAAGCTCAAAGTGTACCTTGGCATGAATTGATTTAGAATACCATACGCAGGCCAATCCAATAAACTTAGAATCTATCTGAGGCCAAGAACAAATGTTACACTAAGTTATCTACTTTGTCATATATACAGTACCCAGGTAAACCATTGACTAGCAGTTGAAAATAGCTTCAGGGATATTTCAAATAGAATCTTCCCCCCAGAGAATTGAATGAAGATAATTTTCACTGTAGTTAAAATTATTTCACATCAACTCTGGTTCTAACCATAAACGGGTTAGAAGGAAATGTAAGGCATGTACAAATTGTCTGAAGAAAAATGAAAGTTATACGTTACTAATATAGATTCTATGGTGTCAGTGATGTCATCTTGCGGTCAGCTCACTTCTGGGTGTCATATATAGAAGGGGATTTTTAAGGTGCCAAAAGTTGCCGACTTTTCTACCTTGATGAATGGTACCCTGTTAGAGGGCCCTACCATACACTGTCTCCATATGGGAGTGCAGGGGTCTCTTTTTCCCCTTTTGAGTGCCTCTACCCATTGGGATCGAGTATACTGCTCTTGATGTTCCATAAATAGGCCTACGCATTTTTATGTATTATCTTTCAAGGTGACCCTTAGTCTATACTGGGATCATAAATTGAGGTTATTGTCATCTATCAAGGAGGCTTTTCTCCTGCTATGGCCATCTAATTCCCGGTTTGAACCAGGAGCCAATGGGGGTGGAGGGTGAACTGAGTCACCTTTGTTTTTCGGCTAGTTTTTGTGTAACAATATCCTGCGTACTTACTTTGCCCCAACATGAATACATAAACACCAAATCACAAAGGTCCATTACCTTCATTGAGCTATTTAGTTTCATGCCACATTTGTATGTTTTTGCCATTTGCATTGTTAAATGAATCTCTTTTGTCAACTGACGCCACTTTCCACATTCAGGTTTTGTGCATTGTACCTAAGAGAGAAAAAAAAATACAGAATCAACAATTAATGAATGAGTGTAACAGGCATAGAATAAGCAGCACTTCCAATATTGAGAGAATAACTAGCATGTTCACATTTAATACTGTGTATTTCCCGCAACTGGGTTCTTTCCAAACAGCAACAAATCCCATAAATAAGGTTAAAGTAATATTAAAAGCAGATATTTTTTGTTTAAACAAACATATCATACTTATCTGCTCTGTGCATTGGTTTTGCACAGAGCAGCCCCAATTCTCCACTTCTTGGGTCCCCCACTGGCGCTACTGGACTCTTCCTCCTGCCTAATGCCCCCATGGCCAGTGATTTTCTATGGCGGCACCAAAGCAGGCTCCCTTCTGAGCCGCTGCTGTGAGTGTCCATTCGCACATGGAGTGCAGCTCGGCCCCACCCTCATGCTCTCCTCATGGGATATAATTGACAATAGCAGGAGCCAATGGTTAGCTCTGCTGTCTCAGCCAATGAGGAGGGGGAGATCCAAGGGAGCCAAGGCTCTAGTGCACATCACTGCATAGAGATGGGGCTCATGTATGTTTTAGGGGGGCTAGAAGGGCTACTGAACACAGAAGGTTTTTTACCTTCATGCATAGAATGCATGAAGGTAGAAAAACTTGAACCTTTACAATCGCTTTAACTCCAGGCTGTTAGAAGTAAAATAAACCTTTCCTGAGAGGAAGTCATTATTGACTCCTTGTTTTGCAAATACAAATTCCCTGGCTAATGTACTGGCATTTTTTACACTAGGCATTCTGTATGGGAGAGGCAGTATGTGCCTGAGTATTCTAGGAACACAAGCAAGAACATTTTAAAATCACTAGATTACCGAAAAAAAGGGAATGAAATTACTTGGTACACTTCTACTGTATATGGATTTAAAGCAGGGTCATATAAGTGTACCTTCTAAGGTTTGTGATAAAAATATCAACAGCACATCACATTCAAACAAAAATACACACAACAAAATTGCCTCAAGGTCGCAAAGGATCTCCTCCCTAGGCAGCAGTGACAGTCTGTCACTGCTGCCTGGGTAGGAGGTCATTTGTGGCTTCAAAGGTTTCATTTTGTTGGTGACAATTACATTAACCATCTTTGTTTGAACATGGTGTGCACCCCTCTGTAACTGGGTCTGACTGTTGCATGGCGTGTACTGGAATTTTTGTATTTATGTAACATCCTCTTTTTTCTTTCTACTTCACGTCCCAAAACATATTTAAACTTCCAAGGATCAGATTCAAGGTTCTGATAAATGTCTCAGTGCCAACAGTTTTATATCAGGATTTCTGAGCGTGGCAATCATCATGTTATGTGTTTTCAGCATCAAAGTGGCAAGCGCTTCAGTATCACAGACAAAACAGAATGGAATAAATTAGTGCAACACAGTAATGCCTGGATAAAAACTGAGCTAGTCATCAGTTAGCTTATGCTCTCTAAATTTGCCTCAAGATTTAATCTACAATTTTGACTGCAGTATACCTTTAAGGAAAGTAAACCTTACCCAGTAAGGAAGTTGCTGGTCTGCCATAAAAGCTTTGGGACTTGGTTCACTTTTACCATTACTTGTCCAAATTCGTTTCCAAGAAGCATATATGTCATAGCCATCCTTGTGACTAAAACAGGAAGACAGAGCAGAACAATCACTAATTAATACAATCAACCTAGCAAGAGAAAGCTATAAATCAACATACACTGGAGTATCTAATTAAAAATAGAAATTTTTACTGAAAATGTAAAGGATTTTTAGGATCATTTATTTCAACAGCACCGACAAGTTTGCGGCATATTATAAACAACACTGATACATTTATATCAAACCTGAACTATTAGACCGAGGGTCAGCAACCAGTAGATCTCAGCCAGGTGACTTGTAGATCGCAGTCTGGGCTTGCTGAGCCATTATCCCAGAGCATCAAACAGAGTGCAAAGCAGAGGAACTACTTGTAAAGTTGGAGCTGTAGTAGGAAGCAATAGCCATATAAGCTGATGCCTCCTCTGTAGCGCTGGCTCCTGTCCCATGCCGAGTGATACCAACTGCACTCCATCTAGCTCCACGCTAGCGGTCTCCAGAGTGGTGCCAGCAGCAGGAAAGAAAGAGATCTTCAGGGAAGTGTGAAGCAATACACTTGGCATAATAGCACAGGGCTGCTTTCACACTGATGCACTGCAGTTTACCCGCACCGTGGGTGTAGTGCAGCGTACCTGCAGCTTTCCTGCGGATTTGCTGTGCTTAGCCATAGATTCTATTATATCCTGCAGGTTTGGTGCACTTTCTGAAAGTGCACCAAAGCTCCTAAATGCAGGAGTTTTGGTGCGCTTTCAGAAAATGCACCAAACCTGCAGGATAAAATAGAAGTCTATGGCAAAGTGCAGCAAACCCAGGTAAGTCACAGATCAGTGTGAAAGCAGCCCTATAGGGGCCTCAGAACAGTAAGGGTTCATTTACATTTGCAGTTTAAGGGTGGTAAAACCCCATAGTTAAGACATGTTTTTACCACCACCTCCTGGACCATACCCACTTGCAGTGGCCAGGGGGTGTACACATGTCGCAGCCGCAGCAGGAGTTATACGCCCAGTCATGGTTGGTGGGTGTAGCACCTGCCAAGCATGACCCATGCAAGTGCACGAGGTTGCTCAGCAAGTGCCCCCTGCAACCTTGTGCAGTACAGCAAATGAGGGGTTAAAGCAGGCAGCGTTGTGTTGCTTTCTCACTGGCTGGGGGGAAAAGCAATCCGAGAGTGTTTGACGATGGTGAAGAAGTGATATTTTACCTCTACACCACCTGATTTAAACCTATGATTGCTGTACAATGCACACGACTGCGACACAGTAGTACGGCAATTTGAGGTTTAAATCAGGTGTGAGGATGTGACACTGTGCCTGGTGATCTTTGATTTCTCCCATGTTTTTCGGGTAGATCTCTACCTCTTTAAGGTTGCCTACCCCTGTATTAGACCATACAATCTAATGACTTCTACACCAGCACAGACATTGTACAGCTAATGCCACATGACTGCATTCTGACCTACACCCTCACATTTGTTCCTTAACTTATTATATTATAATAAGATAATATAAAATGAGTGATAATATGATAATATCAAATAAGCGCAGTGCTAAAAAACTAAAAATGTGTGTATCCATTTTAAAAAAAAAAAACTCAACTGCAAAAAGATTTCAGTTTATAGACTCAATAGTGAAAAACTCAGTAAGAATTGTAATGTTCAAACAACACTTCCTCCCTCTTCTAAATGTCAAACAAACAACACTCCCTTCTTCCCTCTTCTCAATACTTCTTCCCTCTTCTCAATGTCAAACAAACAACACTCCCCCTCTCCAATGTCAAACAAACAACTTCCTCCCTCTTCTCAATGTCAAACAAACTTCTCAATGTCAAACAAACAACACTTCCTCCCAATCTTCTCAATGTCAAACAAACAACACTCCCTCCCTCTTCTCAATGTCAAACAAACAACGCTTCCTCCCTCTTCTCAATGTCAAACAAACAACGCTTCCTCCCTCTTCTCAATGTCAAACAAACTCAAACAAACAACACTTCTCCCTCTTCTCAATGTCAAAAAACAAACACTTCCTCCCTCTTCTTCATGTCAAACAAACAACACAACACAACACTTCCTCCCTCTTCTCAAATGTCAAACAAACAAACACTTCCTTCTCAATGTCCCTCTTCTCAATGTCAAACAAACACTTCCTCCCTCTCCCTCTTCTCAATGTCAAACAAACAACGCTTCCTCCCCCTCTTCTCAGTGTCAAACAAACACTTCCCTCCCTCTTCTCAATGTCAAACAAACAACGCTTCCTCCCTCTTCTCAGTGTCAAACAAAACACTTCCTCCCTCTTCTCAATGTCAAAACAAAACAAACAACACTTCCTCCCTCTTCTCAATGTCAAACAAACACTTCCTCCCCCTCTTCTCAATGTCAAACAAACACTTCAACCCTCTGCCTCACTCAATGTCAAACAAACACACTGTCAAAAAAACAACACTTCCTCCCTCTTCTCTTCTCAATGTCAAAAAAACAACAACACTTCCTCAATGTCAAACAAACAACACTCCCTCTTCTCAATGTCAAAAAAACAACACTTCCTCCCTCTTCTCAATGTCAAAAAACAACACTTCCTCCTCAATCCAACTTCCTCCCTCTTCTCAATGTCAAACAAACAAACAAACAAACACTTCCTCCCTCTTCTCAATGTCAAACAAACCCTCTTCTCAATGTCAAACAAACAACACTTCCTCCCCCTTCTCAATGTCAAACAAACAACACTTCCTCCCAATGTCTTCTCAAATGTCAAACAAAACAACACTTCCTCCCCCTCAATGTTCTCAATGTCAAACAAACAACACTTCCTCCCCCACTTCTCAATGTCAAACAAAAACACTTCCTCCCCCTTCTCAATCCTCCCTCCCCCTTCTCAATGTCAAACAAACAACACTTCCTCCCTCTTCTCAATGTCAAACACTTCCTCCCTCTTCTCAATGTCAAACAAACAACACTTCCCTCCCAATCTTCTCAATGTCAAACAAACAACACTTCCTCCCTCTTCTCAATGTCAAAAACAAACAACACGTCCTCCCTCTTCTCAATGTCAAACAAACAAACAAACAACACTTCCTCCCTCTTCTCAATGTCAAACAAACACAACAACACTTCCTCCCTCTTCTCAATGTCAAACAACACTTCCCTCTAGCTCTTCTCTTCTCAATGTCAAACAACACTTCCTCCCTCTTCTCAATGTCAAACAAACAACACTTCCTCCCTCTTCTCAGTGTCAAACAAACAACAACAACACACTTCCTCCCTCTTCTCAGTGTCAAACAATCAGTGCTCTACAACATAATTTGCAACCATATATATATATAATATTTTGCAGTGCAAAATAGATACTCATAAGAGGTCCTTCAAAACCTAAAGGAGTGTGTATCACTTTAAGAAAATCACAGAAAAAAGATTCCCGTATATAGAATCAAAGTGCAAGACTCAACATACATTGTAATGTACAAACAACACTCCCTAACCCTTCTCAGTGTCAAACAACCGGTGCTCTCCAACAAAATATGCAACCGTATATGTAATTTTTCTGTGCAAATAAATACTCACAAGGCCCATCTGAGACTGCAGATTCATTTAAAGGAGGACAGGCCTACAAAAGGATGTTCACAGAGTTCCTGCCACCCTTCCCACCGACACACCCCATTACAGTACTAGGCACACAGATAGGATAGCACAGCCTGGTATACAAGGCGAGAGGGTTGAACAAGGGAGAGGTTGGGTGTTGGCATATTGCACATGAAAGCCAACATTCGATTTCACAAATGTACACACACTTCCAGGTGGTATAACAACTGTGGGTTTGTTTAAAAAGCATGTATTCCCAGCACCAGGACTCAAGTGGTAAACTAAAAAAGATTTTAAACTTACCCACTCTGTGCAAAAATATTGCAGAGAAATGACTCACCTCCTCTACTGGAATTTCTCACCAGCATAGTCTGAACTGTGATGAGGGGGTACCTGTGCGGGCACACTCCAGATCCGAGTTGTGAATGCAGAGAATTCAAGTAAAAAAACTTTGTGTTTAAAACCACTTTAACTCTAGTCCTTCCACTTCACCACCAACCATACTCAGAGAGAAGCAAGAAAAGACTCATAGTGCTCACTGTAACTAATCTTTATTGCAGGATAAAAACAATTGCACTTACATAGTACAGCATAGCAGATTGCAGATGTGCTCCTGCAAACAGAGACGGCCATGATCCCTCTTTCCATTACCTACTTGCAAGAATCACACATTTTTTATTTATTTGTATTTGGATGAAGTACTGGTAATGGTATGAACATTTTTTAGTACTTACAGTATACTGTTGTGCATATATGATATACACCTAGTCTTGATTTGTTGGGTGTAAGGTATATGTCTTTGAATTTCTCTTTTATACAATATACTTTTATTATGCATATTTCATGTTTGTTCTTGTGGTACATTCACTGATTTACTGAGTGGCTCTGCAATTTGACTGAATTAGCCTGCACCTGCATGCTGGGATTGTTTGAGTCCTGCCAGCATGGTATTGAAGGAAGGCGTGTGGCACAGTTTCCTGTCAACTGCTAGGTGCCAGGATTGTTTATAAACGTGATGTGGGGGCAGAGACTCCAGTCCTCTGATAAAGTCTTTATAGACTTACTGCGTAAGGTATAGTCTCTACGCTGACATTATCACATTCGACAGAGGTTTGCTTTCTTGGTCAACCGTCTGCAGGAGCATAGGCGATGTGTATTGCCTTCATGTATATTTAATTCATTGTGTGCATTTCTGCAATCTGCTCTACTGCACCCTATAAGTGAAAATGTTTTTAACCTACAGTAAACATTAGTTATAGTGAGCACTATGAGTCTTTTCTTGTTTCTCTGAGTATGGTTGGTGGTGAAGTGGAAGGAGGAAAGGTAACCCTTAGGCTTCCCAGAGCTGCACAACTTCCTGAAACATATGAGCCTACAATCAACAATAACAGTAGAGGAATATTAACCATTTGGGTGTTCTGTGTGCTTCATGACCTCCTGCAAAAAGGGTCCTTCTCTTCAGGAGAACAGACACCTACTATCACTGACAATATCTAAGTGGTTTTTGACACAGGAATTTAGCATAGGAATCGTGTGTTTGCACATGAAGATACATTCCTAATGGAGTGGAGCACTGGAACACTATTCTGAAGCAATAATAATGCATTATGTGAATGTTGTTTTTTTTGATGGACCTATTTGAATATTTATTTGCCCTGAAATATATTACATATATAGTTGCACATTCTGTTGGACAGCACCAACTGTTTGACACCAAGAAGGGCGATGAAGTGTTGTTTTTGTACATAAAAATGTATGCTGAGTTTTGCGCTATTGAATCTATATATTGGAATCTTTTTGCGTGATCCCTTTTCTTAAAGGGATACACATTTTAAGTTTTTAAAGTTGCACTTATTTGATTCACTCATTTTAGGTTTGATGGTGGGAACCATGGTTCAAGTGTTGGTAGGTAGAGTCATACAGTGCAAAGAAGCTTTTTTGTCTTTTTAATATGATAGTATAATCTCAAACTGAAAAAGATAGGAAGCAACTTATCATAGCAATTCCAATGGGACCAGGGTACACTGTGCTACACAAGTTAATAGGGAACTCTACAGAGCTGGACTTGGAGTTTACTCCTCCTCAAATCAAGAAAATTATGCACCAGACGCATACTTCCTCCATTAGTACTCACATTCAAGAATCCTCCTACAAATGTCTTACTAGATGGCATAGAACCCCTTCCCATCTGGTTCAGATCTTTCCTGAGGCTGACCATCAATACTGACGGGGCTGTAACCAAAGGGGCACATTCTTACATCTTTGGTGGTAATGCCCCATGATTAAGGCCTTTTGGGAAGAAATTACCCCATGGATTAAAAAACTGACCCTTAATACCCTCATCTGTTAAATCCTATAAAAAAAGTATTATCCCCCACTTGCTTAATTCAGCAAAATCTCTCATCCCACGCTTTTGGAAACAAGCCACCTGACCCTCTTTAATAGACTGGAAGAGAAAGGTGGATAATGTCATGAAAGCAGAATTCTGGGTGCACTTGTTTAACAATCAACAGGATAACTTTAAGGATGTTTGAGCAGGTTGGATGTGATACTCTCTACTGAGATACCTGATACATAAATGTCTATTTGGCATGTTATACAACTCCATGCTTAGCATCCCCAAGGACCATTATTGTGGACCATTTGAAAGACCCACCCCGGGATTTCTTTTCAGTGTAGGTTTTCGGATAAGTCTCTTTTGTTGTTTTCTTTTTTCCATCTAAGTGTCACAATACCTTTGTTAAACCCAGCTACTGTCAATACATTTACTGGTTTTTTTGTTTACAAGCTTTTTTACTGGAAAATGTTTTACATAATAACATAAAAGGTAACAGTTGTAATACATAAATATATCAACAGATATACATAACATTTTGAAGTATTACAATATATATAATCTTAATTTAAGTAAAATATCAAAAATATATGTCTACTTGTTACTTCTCAAAAAAATTAACTATACAAAATAGGGTACAGAATAAGGAAGATCAAAAAAAGAAAAGGAAATATGACCCTTGAAGGTGTAAATTGAGTGAAAAAAAGATATATTACAATGCTTCAAAATCAGGATTTGTAATCTAATTACCATTTGAAAGCCTATAAAGAAACCGAGGATTCCATTTTAGACCGAATAATCTCTTCATGTTGATTAGTGTATAAAAAATGTTTTTCCATAATCATAATTTCATCAATCCTAGCAATAATTTGTGGAAAGGGAACTATAGTAGTTTTTTCCAGTGAAGGGCTATTGCCCAGTGTGTTGCTACGCATATAGTATGTATGAGGTTTGTAAGAGATGAGGATATATCTGGAATACCTCTAAACCATAGGCAGTTATTGTACAGTATGTTAGGTTTACTTCTTTACCCTCCAAAGTGTTAATTAGAGTAAAGATCTCTTTCAATGTGGGAGCTAATGGCGTGCATTCCCAGCAGATAAGCAAAAATGTACCAGGAAGGGAACAGCCTCTAAAACAAGATGGCGATACATTTGGGTAGAAAATTTGTAGGTGAGAAGGAGTGTAATACCATCTTGTAAATAATTTTACTGCTGTTTCACATATTGTTATAGATTTTGTACATTTACGAAGATTAGACCACACAGAGTCCTACTCTTGAGAAGAAAATTGCAAACCCAATTCAGCTTCCCATCTTAACATTTAGGGTAATTTGTCAACTAAAGTGGAAGAATTGAGATCATTATATAAAATTGAAATAAGACCCTTTCCTCTGGGGGGGGTTTATGACATATATGTTCATAGATAGTAAAGGAGGTAGCTTGAGGGTATTATAGAAAAGTCTTATTTGTAAGTAGTTTTGGTGTTCTGAAATGGGAGCTGCTTTAAGTTATTGTATTAAATTAAAGGGCAGTTATTTTATTGTGCACCCACCATTGGAAATCCTGTGGGGAGGAAAAAGCAGTTTAAAATCTAGGATCTTCTAAAAAAGAGGCTCCAGGTGAGGGACTGGATGTTAAATTCCAGTCTTTTTTACACTTAATTTCATAGAGTGCACTACTATTGTATTACAAGTAGCGATATAATTAGCCCAAAGGAGACCTGAAAGGTAAAATGATGAGATAGAGGCAGTTTCAAATAATAATCAAGGAATTTCAGGTTTTAAAACGTTTCATTGGGCTAATTGTGTTAGTAACAAAATATACCCACAGTTGTGGAAGACCTAAACCTTCAGATTTGTTTGAGTGGTATAGGAGTTTTTTAGAGTATCTTGGGGTTTATCATTCCAAATAAATGTATTAATGGGTTATTGGAGTTTAGAAAGATAAGTTTTAGATAAACAAAAATAGGTAGTGCTCTAAAAAGATAGAGTAATTGAGGTAATATATTAATTTTAATAGCAGTTATTCTTCCCCAGAAAGAAAGGTGAAATGAGGCCTAGATTTTAGAAATTTGCCGAATTTTATGTTCTAATGGAGGATAATTACATGAAAATAGATTGTGGTAATTGGCTGAGAGGGAGATGCCTAAATATGGAACTGTAGCAGAAGACCAAGCGAACGGAAAATTACTTTTAAGATTTTCTAGTTCTAAAAGGAGAAACATTAATCGGTAACGCTAATGATTTAGAAACATTCATTTTTAAGCTTGATAGATTGGCAAATTTAGTCAAAGTATCTAAAAGATTGGGAACTGATATAAAGGGGTTTGTCAAGAATTATAAGTCGTCATCAGCCTATAAACATATTTTAAATGTAGATGAACCTCTACATTTTCTGTTTTGATTACTGGTTTATACTGATTTCTTTGGGTCCTCTTTTATGATATTATTGACCAGGCGAAGTGTATTCTATATGATGCTTTTTTATGGTTGTGTACTGCATCCTTTTCTCGGATGTGACTCCTATGATGTTTTTTTGCCTTCCCTTTACTTTTTATATTGTAAAACCCTATTAAAACATGATTACATAATTGGGACCTCTACAGTTCCCTAACAGTTATTTTAATCTGATTACATTTTTGAACCTGCTAATAAACAGTTGCTAAAGATATTCAATTGCATTTCTTTTAAATGTCAAGAACAATGCTCAAAGCATGGCATCAGCCATTCAGCCTGCTTAGACAGTACTATAGAGATAGAAATCAAAGCAAGTAAATAAAACTCACCTAAACAGAGAAAAGCCAAACATGCCCCCTGGAGTTCCAGCAGTGGTATATACCAGACGTGTTCACCCACTACCACAAGGCAACAGCAATATCCATTGAACCAAAGCTCTTTAACCACTTCCCGACCGGCCGTTGCATATAAACGGCCGGACGGTGGCAGTACAGGGTCGGGTGGCCGTTTATGAACGGCCTCCCTGCACCCTGCTTGTGCGCGCTCCCTGGGACCCTGCTTGTGCGCGCTCCCTGCCCGCTGTGTCCTCCGGACACAGTGAAACACCGATCGTCGGACGGGACCTCTGTACGAGGTCCCGATCATGTGATCACTGATTGGCCAATCAGTGATCACATGCAAAGTAGTAAGCAAGATGTCACTTGTGACATCATTGCTTACTACGTGTGAAATCTGTGAATGATCACAGAGGTCACATGGTACAAGGCTATTCACAACAGCCTTGTACCATGTGACAAGCTGTGACCAATCACAGCTCACTCTGTATTTCTCAATGAGTGCACGAATGCAGACAGAGAGAAAGAGAAATGATTGCTTTTACATCCTATATGGGTGTAAAAGCAATCATTGTAAAAAAAAAAAAAAAAAAATCTTCATCACCCCCCACAAGTAGTACAGTGTCACCATGGTGACACTGTACTGCTAGGGTGACAGTATGTAAAAAAAAATAAATAAATAAAAAATAATAATATAAAAAAATAAAATAAAAATGTAAAAAAAAATGTTTAAAAAATTATAATTTTTGGTTATAAACTAATTTGTTTTTGTTTTTTTTTACTAAAAAGATAACGAAATACATTTTGGCAAAGATTTATAATGAAATATTATTTATTTGCAAAATGTTATAAAAAAACACTTTTGTTCAAAATTTTTGGACTTTTTCATTTACATAGCAAAAAAAATAAAAATCCCAGCAGTGAATAAATACCACCAAAATAAAGATTTATCTGTCGCAAAAAAATGGTAAAAAATTAATTTGGGTACAGTGTTGCATGACTGCGCAATTGTCATTCAAAGTGTGATAGCGCTGAAAGCTGAAAATTGCCCTGGTCAGGAAGGGGGTAAAAGTGTCCGGTCTGGAAGTGGTTAATCACACATGTATTGTGAAAACAGATCAGAAATAACTGAAAAATGCAATATAGCACATACCTCCTATAGTAATGGTCAAAACATTCATTGCAGAAATGCTCTCCACAGGAAAGGTGATACCACCTTGATGTATAACCATTCTTAGCACACCTGAAATTAAAATGGTGTAATTACTATCAACTGAGGTTCATTTTTTTGTTACAGTTTTGTGGCTTGCAGCTCATGCAATAACAATATAAGCCATATATGATAAGAGTTATAAGGTAACTGAACATTGGATTAAACAAACTAAATAAGCATCCGACAAACATGGTCTGCTTTGTGTGTAGTATCGGCTGCATTGCCCTACGTGATAACAGTCTTTAGAGCCACTTCTTCCGACATTAGCACCCAGCCATACGCACAAGCTGAGGGTAAATTGACCCTCTCTACTAATCCCACACTAGCAAAAGCTCTCTGCTAGTACTGTGATGAATGGAATTGGTGACTGTTGACACTGCGCACAAGCTGTGAAAAGGCAATGGCAGTAGGTACTGGAGTTATTGATTGCAAAGCAGTCTAGTTCTGCGTGATGATTACTTTGATTTGCTCAATGTACGGTTATAGATTAATCTGCCACATATAACCTAACCTTAATCAGCATGAAAGTAATTTCTTTGGATCTAAGAGACATACTGTACATGAGGAAAAAAAACAAGGATTTGGGCCAGTCGTAACCAATTAAAGGATAAGTTCACCTTAAAAAAAAAAAATAATAATAATAAATGCACATTTTTTTTATAGGTAAAAGAAACTTGTATTTATTTATTTATTTATTTTGCTTGGCAGCCTGTAAAGAATTCCACTCGCAATCAGATGTCAGGCTCTTGCAGACTGTCAGTACACTGTCTGCCCGTACGTCTAATATGGGCAAGCAGTTACTGAAATCTAGGATGGTGGGGTGGTGAGGTGGTGGATGCTCAACATGTTACTAAATATCTGTGTAACATGTGATATGTTGAGAAAGTTCAATTTACCCTTTAACTAAGTTTATGTAATGTAGTCCAAGCAACAAGAAAAATTATTCTATCTTGAATTAAATAGACTGAATTTGGAAAGTATATATTTAATGTTATGAGGAAGTGCTGAACTAAGCGTAAAACATGTCAGCCATCTTTCTCCTTCCAAACTGTCTACACTGGCTGTTTTTATGCATATATTTTCATAATAAAGATGGCTTAAAGAAGATCTATGGAGTGCAGTCATCTGGATTCCTTTTCTTGTGTTGCGATCTGGGCTGGCACCCTTTATATGCTGAACTGTAGAATCCTGTGGTTTGGGCTCATATGTAGCAGCGGGAGTTTGTCTTCCTATGCTTCCATTTTGTTTTTTTTTTTGCCCACTGGATAAGTTGATCAAATGTAAAGCTGGCCATAAATGTTATTTTCATTAACAAAAAAAAACAAAAAAACAGATTCCTCCATCCACACAAACGAGGTGGATGAAGGAATCTCTCCCACTGAGACATTGTAATCTGACAGAGGGAATCTCCTTTGTCTGGATACACTGATCAGCAGCTGCAGTCACTGATCGATAAAAGTTTTCCAACAATCCCGTTTGACAAAAGTCGTTCTAATGGTTCTTGAGGCACTGGCAGAATTTCAGTTCATCTATAACTAGCTTATGTACTGGATACATTTATGTTTTCTCATACTAGATACTCTCATATTAAATACACAACATCATTCTGTTAAACAAAGTTGGAAATACTTCCTAATTAACAAGGGTTTTAAAGGATGTGAAGGTAAAGCTAATTGCTTTTGCATAAAGCTCCCCTTTGAGGATACATGCATTTCCATAAGCACTGTAAAACATTTCTTGGGTTTCCCTCTTCATTCAGCTATTCGTGTATAACCAGATATTATGCTATACAAGCATACTCTCCAAACAAGCTATTCAAAGCATGACAGAAAATCAGCCTGGTAATGAAGTGGCTTTGTTGTATCATATCAACCACCTGCTGGATGCAAATGGTAAATACTAATTTACATTACATTACAAATACCTACATTAAAACAAAAGCCTGCTTACCTTTCAGAAGCACTAGCAAAGCAAACTGGACATGTTGCTGTGCATCCCGCCTTTTCACACTTCCTGTATTTCTTCTCTGAAAACTCATCATCATCATCTAGTGCTTCACTTGCTTTCTTCTTTACCTGAACACAGGAGAACAGAAAATGAACCTACATGAACCTATACCTCTAGACATAGTTCATAAAGAATATAAGAGTCTTAAGCATAAACTACATTAGGTGATGATCAATGATAAACGTACCTAGACGCTACATAATACCCAAACTGAATTGGCCAAGACATGGGACTTATAAATCCATTATTCATCCTTGGATCACTGAGGCTCAGGAAGGATCAATTCTTCTTTCCCCTACTTCCTTGTCTCTTTTCAGTCAACCATATGGAGGCCTTCACCCCATTATTGGGGGCATGATCATATGCTACAGTTCCTACTTGGCATAAAATGGCAAACCTAATTTGTATTTGCTACTTACATCAATACATGTACAAATGAGCAATAGAAAAGATTTTGAGACAATAATTTTTATTAATATACAATCCTGGTCAAAGTTTTGAGAATGACACAAATATTCATTTACCTGTACGGAAACACGTGCAGTCATCAGTCAACCATTTATTGAATCATCAAGAACTTCAAGCAGAGAAGTTCAATTGTTGTGAAGAAGGCTTCAGGGCGCCCAAGTAAATCCAGAAAGTGCCAGGACCGTCTCCTAAAGTTGATTCAGCTGCGGGATCAGGGCAACACCAGTGCTGAGCTTGCTCAGGAATGGCAGCAGGCAGGTACATCTGCACGTGCAGTGGGGACAAGACATTTGGAGAATGGCCTGGTGTCAAGAAGGGCAGCAAAGAAGCCACTTTTCTCCAAGAAAAAACATCAGGGACAGACAGATATTCTACAAAAGGTACAGGGTTCGGACTGCTGAGGACTAGGGTAAAGGCATTTTCTCTGATGAATCCCCTTTCTGATTGTTTGGAGCATCCGGAAAAAGTGGGCTCACTAACAATTTAGCCTAAGAACACAGCCATGAATAAAGAATGGTACTAAAACCTCCCCCGAGAGCAACTTCTCCCAACCATCCACGAACAGTTTGGTGATGAACAATGCCTTTTCCAGCATGATGAAGCACCTTGCCATAAGGCAAAAGTGATAACTAAGTGGCTTGGGGAACATGGCCATGGCCAGGAAACTCCCCAGAGCTTCCTGCCATTGAGAGCTTGTGGTTAAAGTGTTACAAAACCCAGGACCCTGCATTCACTATGTCAGGTCTCCCACAGCACACAGAACATGGAAATGCAATTATTTTAGTAAATATAAACTGCTAAATACTTTTTCTCATCAGCAGTTAGAGCAGTGTGACTTCTATCAGTGTCCAGCAGAGCATTGGTTACAGCTTGTAGGAGGAGTTTTAATTCTCCTGTAGGAGGATGCAAGACTCCTGACCTTTGTCTGGGCAGTGCTGATTGGCTCTGTACTGATCACATGCACTCTCCCAAGAAAACAAAACACTCTCTAGCAATACACACCAAAGTAAGTATGTGCAGCTTGCCCCCAAGCCTCTGTTCTATCAGAAGATATTTATGAGATACTGGAACAAGGGGAGGATCAGAGAATACATGATCAAACTTTTTTTTACACAATGTGGAGGATTAACCCCTTAGATTCCACAGTGGGTATAACAAGCATGCTTTACTGCATATACAGACTGATTTTACTGTTGCGGGTTTAGTAACACTTTAATCCTCAAGAGGCAGGTGAACAAAATAAAAACCCACAAATTCGGACAAACTACAAGCATTGATTATGCAAGAATGGGCTGGGCTCAGTCAGGATGTGGCCCAGGAGTTTACTGACAGCATGTCAGGGATAATTGCAGAGGTCTTGAAAAAGAAGGGACAACACTGCAGATATTGGCTCTTTGCATAAACTTAATGTACCTGTCAATAAAACACTTATGAAAGGCTTGTAATTATACTTCAGTATACCATAGTAACATCTGACAAAAAGATCTAAAAACACTGAAACAGCAGACCCTGTGAAAATTAATATTTGTGTCATTCTCAAAACTTTTGGCCAGGGCTATAGTCTGGATGTAAACATGTGCTTGATAGAGCTATCATTACCCTTGTTTGTCAAAATTGATGCCTTTTATCTAAAAGAAATAGCTATAAACACATACAATAAATCTAATTATAAGTTCTGCATTACAAAACAAATTGCCTACATCCCACATACCCTCATAAGCAACAATAAGGTTACTGTCAAAATTGGTTGATCCATTAATATACAGGTGAAACTCGAAAAATTAGAATATTGTGCAAAAGTTCATTTATTTCAGTAATGCAACTTAAAAGGTGAAACTAATATATGAGATAGAGTCATTACATGCGAAGCAAGATAGTTCAAGCCGTGATGTCATAATTATGATGATTATGGCTTACAGCTCATGAAAACCCCAAATCCACAATCTCAGAAAATTAGAATATTACATGCAATCAATAAAACAAGGATTGTACATAGAACAATATCGGACCTCTGAAAAGTATAAGCATGCATATGTACTCAGTACTTGGTTTGGGCCCCTTTTGCAGCAATTACTGCCTCAATGCGGCGTGGCATGGAAGCTATCAGCCTGTGGCACTGCTGAGGTGTTATGGAAGACCAGGATGCTTCAATAGTGGCCTTCAGCTCTTCTGCATTGTTCCGTCTTATGTCTCTCATCTTTCTCTTGGCAATGCCCCATAGATTCTCTATGGGGTTCAGGTCAGGCGAGTTTGCTGGCCAATCAAGTACAGTAATCCCACGGTCATTGAACCAGGTTTTGGTGCTTTTTGCAGTGTGGGCAGGTGCCAAGTCCTGCTGGAAAATGAAGTCAGCATCCCCATAAAGCTCATCTGTGGAAGGAAGCATGAAGTGCTCCAAAATCTTCTGGTAGACGGCTGCGTTGACCCTGGACTTAATGAAGCACAGTGGACTAACACCAGCAGATGACATGGCTCCCCAAATCAACACAGACTGTGGAAACTTCACACTGGACTTCAAGCATCTTGCAGTGTGTGCCTCTCCATTCTTCCTCCATACTCTGGGTCCTTGGTTTCCAAATGAGATGCAAAAGTTGCTCTCATCAGAAAAGAGGACTTTGGACCACTGAGCAACAGCCCAGGTCTGTTTTTCTTTAGTGCAAAGTGAAAAAAAACAAGAAGCGCACCAACCTTGCGCATTACCTCAGTAACCAAAATTTATTAGTAAAGGAATGGTACTCACAAACAGTGAATAAAAACAGACATGTAAGTCCTCCAAGGGACTTCAGAGACAAGAGGCCAGCGCAAATCCCATCATGGGGGTAGACACTCAGTACAGCTGATGCGTTTCGAAGGACGTACCTTCTTCCTCAGAGCTTTTTTTTCACTTTGCAGTATTGTTTGGGCTTCCCCAGCCTTGTTTTGGAGCTGCATGACCTTTCATGCTCTGGTGGTCGTTTCGTTTGGGTTTGATCTCACCTACTCGCCACCGGCCTGGGTCCTGGAGCGCAGGAGGAATCGTATTTTGTCCACTGTTTTTCTTTAGCCCAGGTAAGACACTTCTGACGTTGTTTGTTGTTCAGGAGTGGCTTGACAAGAGGAATACGACATTTGAAGCCCAGGCCCAGGATCTTTTCAGAGGTCCGATATTGTTCTATGTACAATCCTTGTTTTATTGATTGCATGTAATATTCAAATTTTCTGAGATTGTGGATTTGGGGTTTTCATGAGCTCTAAGCCATAACCATCACAATTATGACAAAATCCCGGCTTGAACTATCTTGCTTTGCATGTAATGAGTCTATCTCATATATTAGTTTCACCTTTTAAGTTGCATTACTGAAATAAATGAACTTTTGCACGATATTCTAATTTTTCGAGTGTTACCTGTAGACACAGATGCATTAAAAAGCTGTATGCCCAAGACAAATGCAAGTTAGTGTGAAACCAGAGTGTGTGGAAGATAAGATCTGTGACAAAAGTCAACTTTATTAGGCCTCATGCACACTGTGTGTTAAATCACTGCTTTTAGGGGTGTCTGGCATTTTTTTCAGCCTCTAAATGCCCCTCCATGTTAGTCTATTTGTCTATGCATACATAGGTGTTTAGGGGCGTAAAAAATGATTTATTTCTTTAACCCTAGGCATGTTCAGCGCTTGAGCGTTATTTCCTTTCAATGTCTAGAATAATTTATTATTCTGGCCACTAAAATGAGTTAACACCCAATCCCTTGGCGAGCCTAAATGCATCTAGATGTGTTTATGAGCATCAAGAGTTTTTTCTGCCAAAACGCTGCTGTAAGGAGGAAAGGCATTTAGGAGAGCTGGGTAAACTCCATGTGCTCATGGGGTAGACCCCACATACTGAAAATATTTATTTCATAGTACACCTGTCAGAAAAAAAAAAAATCAAAAATCATACCATGCATGACATGTATACTTTCAGCAATTTTCAAGTGCACCCACTGCTGGGCTGTTTCAGTCTGCAAGCTTTAATATTTCCCACTAGTGCTGTAGGCTGGAAAACCCTTTCCCCCAACTTCCTATCAGCCAGTAAGGCTGCCCACAGTAAAGACATGCCAACATAAAGGTGTGGGAAGGAGTAGGACAATCTGCAGATCTACCAGAAAGCGTTGAAGCTTTCAGATCAAAGTCGTCTACAATTTGGGGGTTCCAAGACACTCTGAAGGAATGCATTGACATCTCTAAGTTCTCTCTTTGCTGCTCCCTCATGTGAAAATGTAAAGAAAGCATATAGCAAGAGAAATATGTAGGCTGATACCTATATGTCACTGACTTAAAGGATAAGTTCACCTTTCCAAAAAAATAATAAATGCACATTTTTTTGCAGGTAGAAAAATGTGCATTTATTATTGTGTTAGGAGCCTGTAAAGTATTGCACCAGCAATCAGCAGATCACTGGTGCCATGCAGGTCTCCTGCACGCTGTCATTGTATCTGCTTGCTCGTACATCCCCTTCGGGCAAGCCGATATTTGCTGACATGAGGATTCAATGAACAACCATCGCACTCACAGTGCAGTGGTAATTCATTGAGAACTAAAAGCCGAAAGGCTGACGGGGACTTGTACAATTATTCACAAAATACTTTGATTGAAAGAAGCGGCCATGTAGTCAGAGCTCCGCACGACCACGCTGCTTTTGAAAACTGACAGCTAGTACCGGAAACTTTTCCCTGTACTTCTGTCACGGGGGGGGGGGGGCAATGGGCTGCTGCAGGATCGGGAACATGTTACATGTTCCACCCTAAAAACAGGCGGAAAATGTAACATGTTCCCAAAGGTGAACTTATCCTTTAATACCTTTATAAGTATGAGTAATAAACACAGAGCAAGCATGCAAAAGTGAAGTCAGAACGTCTGATCCGAGTCTCAGTCTCCAATGATTTGACACATCAGTAAGTACACATACAGCAGAATCCAAAAATAGAGCAGTTTTGGCTTCTGGCTCAGCAATGTTACCTGTCGGAAGTTTGACAGGCAGACAACTATTTTAAGGAATGTGGTAAAATAAAATCCAAAGGTTTGTGAAGAAAGGCAGGATCCAGCTTCTACAGCAGGTGCCCATTATGCTGTTTACTCGAGGCCAGTGAGTTAGCAGAGCACCCAGAGGAAAATCTAATGCATGCGCATGTAGGGAGCAGAAAGAGTGACTGCCAATCAACCAGGTTCAGAGATCGCAGTGTCTTTTCCAAAGACTCAGAAAAAAGACAACGATCTCTGAATCTGGCCAATTAAAAGCCGTTCTCTCTGTGCATGCTTTAGACCTTTATCCAGATGCCCCACTGACGTGCTGGCCACAAGTAAGTGGCATCTTGAGCACTTGCTGCAGAAGCTGGATCCTGTGCTGGATTTGTTTTCCCACATTCCTTAACAGAACTGAACCAGACCACATTCCCACAAGTAACAAGTTCTGCTCTCTTTAAAGACACTGTTTTCCATGTGCTTACTAATCTGTGGGTTCACTGGAGAATGTTTCCCTACTTAACAGTGTTTAGTAGCAATATTGGCAACAATATTTTAACATTATCCAAAACTTTGTAACAGTGTCTTTCCAATTCACATTACTGGTGAGCACAGATCCTTGCTTGAATTACAGTAGACTTCTGATGGCTTCACATATAGTTTTACCAAACAGCAATGAAAGACTTGATACCTGCCGGATTGAAGACCGTACAGGATGGCTGTCAGATGAAGTGTCAATCGCAATTGGCTTTTTCTTTGTTCTCCCTTTATTTCCAGACATACTTTTTCAAGTTACCTGTGTTATTAAAAAATGCTTGCATTATTAGTAAGAATTAATATAAATACTTGCCACTAAAGAGCATGTTTTGGAATGTTTTGCATATAAGAGGAGTGGACAAATTGAATGGGATTTAGAAGTCAACAGGACATTTTGTAAAGTCAGGAACCAAACCTCTTGACGACAACTCCCCAGCAGCACCATGAAAAACTAGGCACCGCTATACTTCATTTGGTGCATGACAACTAGGATCTGTCCAGCCCTTGCCAATTTATTCTCTCATTATTTCTGTAAAATAGGTCAACAGTTTCTGTCTATAAGGGCTCCTCTAGGCAGGCTTTTTTCTCAACATTCAAAGGGTATGTCATCAAAAACTTTTTTCTAGTTTTAGACAAGAGTGGGAAAGATTAGAACACCAGTCAGTTTTTACTGCTATCAGGGGCTCCATTAAAGATGTGAAGAAAAAACTGCAACATAGACACAGATAAAATAAAAACATGACAGAGATTCCAGCCTTCTCCTATTCTACTAAATGAAAGCATTATTATTTTTGTTTGTATTGCTGTTGGAGAGTTCCTCTTTTCCTGTCTGGTAAAATGTGGTTGACTTGATAATGAGGATAAATCTCTCTTAGCCCTGGTTCACATATATGCGGCCAAGAAGGCCGCGCTTTGTGCGGGCACGAGAGCCTATTCATTTTAATGGACTCCCATGCCCTGTGACACGCAGAGAAGAAGTCTTCTGAAAACGCAGCCCACACAGGAACCTCGGTTCCCAGTACGGTTGCGTTTTCCAGTGCGGGCGGCGTGCCATTAGAACTAATGGCACCTGCCCGCGGGTCTGCATTTCTCTCTGCAGGTGGTGCGGCTGCACAGATTTTCGTGCGGATCCGCAGCGGCACCACCCACACAGATGTGAACCTAGCCTAATGGGAGTTAAAGATAGCAGCAAAAACCCAATAGGAGTTCTAATCCTTGCCTTCTCTATCTAGAACTAGAAAATATGTTTGTTTGCCTTTACATATGCTTTGAAATAGTGAGGCACTAATATATCTGCCACTGAAAATTATCGTCCAAAAATAGGGTTATCTGCATTTTGCTGCTATGAAAAAAAAGTGCCAATAATCGTAATTGACTTCAATGCAAATTCACATACCACTGACTTCAATGCAAAAACACCCCCTATTGACTTCAATGCAAAATCATGTCCCATTGACACCAATACAAAAAAAATGCCCCCTATCGACTGCAATGCAAAATCGCGTCCCGTTGACTTCAATGCAAAATCGTGTCTCATTGACTTCAATGAAAAATTGCATCCCATTGACTTCAATGCAAAATGCCTCTATTTAATTTTTTTTTATTTGATATATATTTCATTTTATTTTCTATTCAATTTTTGTGTGTTAATTTAAAAAAAAATATTTTACATTTCTAGATTGTATTTTTTTAATTCATATTAATTTAAATTCATGATATTAAATAAAAAGTTAAAAAAAATACAAATATATTTAAAAAATGTTGGTTTTGTTTTTTGGCCCACTGCATCCTGAATTTTCAGTTTTGGTCCAGAATTTTCATTTCTGGTGCACCACTACTTTGAAAGCATTCTTCAAGCACAATTCAACAGTGTTCGGTTCCCTTTCAAATGAATTGAAATTTGCAGTGTTTGCCCTGCTTTGCATTTCTTTGAATCCAGCAGGTTCTATTGAGTAGTGTTCATGATGAAGGCAAGAGCAGCTCAAGCTTTGTCCCTGCATTGCAGTGGTGCTGAGTTTGAAGGCAGAAGGCAGATTTTGTAAACGAAGCTTATCTACACGGCTGTAAGCCTACATTCACACCTGATCAGAGCATAAGCAGAGCACATTCCTGGTGATTTTTAAGTGTTTTTCCCCCAGGCATGTTACGGCTGTTTTTCAGGAGTATTACAGGCGTTTTACAGGCAATTTTGTGTATCAAGCTTTAGGAGTTTATATCCTGGGCTGGGTAAGGGGAGGAGAGCAGTTCTATTGGAGAGGAGGATTTCTTCAAGTGGTAAAAAGTGTGTATTACACATTTATAGATGTTCCCATTGAAGTCTATGGGACCTAAAACTCTTGAATGAGCTCAAAAAAGCTCATGTACTTTTTTGAGCATACGGCATAGAGCACAGAGTGACTGAGCATACAAATGTGAACAGGCACAGTTGGAAAGAATAGGATTCAGCGCAGTCAGGCTTAGGGAAATAAGCAGAAAAATGCTCAAGTGTGAATGGGGGCTTAACTCAACCTCATCCATTTCAACAAAACATTCAATAAAAAACATAAATACAGATGTGCCTTAATTTTCAAAGCTCACACAAGGATAATTATCTTTAATTTTAAAAAATAAGAATTGATTAGCAGAAGCCAATATCTTTGTGAACTGAGCCCATGGTCTTTAAGGAGATTCTGACATAAACTAAAAAAATGCAGTTAAATGCACAGAAAAATGAAAGCGGTAGTAAGTTCTAGAAAAAAAAAACAAGACAAAGGCATAATGTGCTAGTATGCATTGCATACGTGTGTGTTTGCGTCTGCATTTGGAATGCCATTAACAATTAATGGCACTGAAAGCCATAATTGTTAATTGTGCATGAGCGTGTTCCTGGCAATCAAGGGTTTAAATGTGATGACTGGTGTACTGACAGGCAAGCTGACGCTATCTGGGAGGGGCGTGAAAACCGCGGGAGCATGAATCACGTGTATATATATATATATATATATATATATATGTGTGTGTGATTTTGCGCACCCATGCCGCCCTGTAGCAGTATTTCTGCTATAAGGCGGTCAGGAAGCGGTTACAGAAGCGGTTTGTGTTACTTTGCTGCGTTACTTTAACTGACAATTGCGCGGTCATGCAATGCTGCACCCAAATTAAATTGACGTCCTTTTTTTCCCCACAAATTGAGCTTTCTTTCGGTGGTATTTGATCGCCCCTGCATTTTTTATTTTTTGCGCTATAAAAAAAAGGCTGACAATTTTGAAAAAAAACAATATTTTGGACTTTTTGCTATAAAACATGTCCAGTAAAAAAATGTAAAAATCAAATTTCGTCATAAATGTTGGCCAAAATGTATTCTGCAACATGTCTTTGCTAAAAAAAATCCCAATACGTGTAAATTAATTGGTTTACGTGAAAGTTATAACATTTACAAATGGCGGTATAGATACTGGATTTTGAATTTTTTTTCATACTAATAATGGCGGCGATCAGCAACTTATGGCGGCAATCAGCGACTTATGGCGGGACTGCGGCGAACATTCTGACACTGGGGGGGAACTGACTTGGGGTCACTGACATCCCCAGTGACACAAATACAGTGATCAGTGCAACAAAAAAACACTGACGCTGTACTAATGGCACTGGGGAGGAAGGGGTTAACTTTTTTAGGCAATCAAAGGGTTAACTGTGTGAGGGAAATGTTTTACTAGTGGGCAAGGGGTGTGTTCTTCACTATTGCACGCTGTCCCGGAAAGCTAATCTCTGCATTCCGGAACAGTGAGCTGGAAACTAACAGGGAGCAGAGCTGCATTGAAAACAATGCAGCTGTGCTCTGTGTCACTGTTTGCCGGCAATCGCCGGGACCCGGCGGGTAATGACCAGTCGGGACCCGTTGATTGACACCCGTGGTAGTGATCGGCGGCGTGCGTAGATCGGTCGCGCGCGCGCCCCCTACCTGATATGCAAAATGACGTTTTAAAGCGTGATTCTGCACAGCGGTGCCACCCTGCCACAGTATATATACTGTGGCTGGTAGGCAATCGGTTAATAATTATTATAATAATGATAATAAAATCCTTTCCTAGAAGACAGAGGAAGCTTTTTTTCCTTTCTGCAACAAATGTACACTACTGGTATACTGGTGCATAGGGAAGCTGGAATTTAGAAAAAAAAAGAACTTAGCCTTTATAAGGGTTGATGGTCAAGTAAAAGTAACTAAATCGAGCAGAACTACAGTGCATCTGAGCAACACAAACCAAAAATGCTACGAGGGACGTTTAAACCAAACCGGGACTTTTAATTTTACAGGTATAAAAAGGGATGCTTGCCTGGTGGTATGCTGTAGTAAGTGACAAGTGTGTCCTATTACTGATAGGCGGTGCACATGTCACTGGCCAGTACAGAGACGGTTAATCAAGATGGCAGACAACAGTGTTAGGGTTCATGTACACTGCAGCTGATAAACTCACGTTCAGGAGCTTTTCTGAACTCTCCCTAATGTTTTCCTATGTGTCCATGTACACTATGTCGTTTACAGTCGTTTACAGGCAGTTGAGTTTACAGTCGTTTTTTTTAATGCCCCAAACTTGTGCTCAGGAGTAGATTTTATCAGTGTTTCGAAAGCCAAACGCCTGTAAACGCGGCTAACCGCGTTTATAAGAATTTGTGTTTAGAAGTGTTTTATTAACTGTACTATATCCAGATGCTGTCCAGAGCCTTTTTTTTATCATCAAAAATGCATGCAAAGCATTTTCCATATATTCAAATGGACCTAAGTACACCAGCGCAGTCAGTTCCAGGTTTTGCATGAAGGAAAAAAATAGTAGAATGTGCTGCATTATGCTCATGATGGGATCCATAGTGAATACAACCAGAAACGATAGGTCATCTCAACACATACTGCTCTCTCTGCTTCTGCTCTCTCTATTTCTCTCAAAATGTCTGAAATAGTAAATTTTTTTACTGTTTTTCAGTGCATTCTGGGCATTTTGGAAGGTCTCCTGAGGTTATTTTAAAAAAATGCTTCTAAAGCAAACGCTCATAAACGTGCATAAACACGGTATGCAAACTTGGCTAAACAGACATTTTTCAACCTACATTTTCCAGCAGTCAGTTTCTATCATTCAGAAGTGTTTTCCAAACATCCTGTGTACATGGAGCCTTAGTGTGTGCATGGAACAGGGGATTTTCTACCGTGTGGTGCCACTGTCAACAGGGAATATTACTGTTGTGTTCTGAGTGATGTGCATATGCGTCTGT